TCCTCCCCGCACGACGCACACAATCACACGCTCCGTCTTCGATCAGTCGACGACTCTGAAGTCTGAAATCTCAAATTGCCTCGCTCCTTCCTGCTTGTGATTTTTTTTTTTTCTTATGTTCCTGCTCATATGGCACCAACCCAATCCAAGTTCGTGATTGTTTTTTTTTTATTAATTTTTATGTCTATGATATGATTCTGAGCTGCATACATGTTCTTCCTTTTTTTTATGTATATGATATGATTCTGAGCTGCACATTTTATTTGTCATTTCTCTATTTTATCGGATAACCGATAACCGAACCGATAAAACCGTTTTATTTTCGGTCTGAAACCGAACCGAACCGTGGTTTTCGATTCGGTTTTCGGTTTCAATAATGGATAACCGAAAATTCGGTCGGTTCGGTTCGGTTTCGACCGAATGTGCAGCCCTAGGCTCTTCTAATATTCGTATTTTGACAGAAATTTAACATCATTAATCTATATTATTGCTACGTAAAACTTATTGGCCTTATTAATATAGGGAACTACTACAATTTCGATAACGGAATGATTCCATCAGTGTTTGTTACCGTAAATTATCTATACTACATAATCTACACGTGCATTCAATGGTGAAACACGGAACCATTCTGTAACGAGACTGTAGTCATCCCCATTAAAATACGTAAACTGTTTCTTTTTATAAGTACGCGTAATTGATTTTTCAGATCGCATGATATTGACTGCAGAACAATTATTTTTTGCTGAAAAATTCTCTTGAAGAACGCTGATGATAATGCTCAAGCAATACGCTTTTAAGTTTCACGGAGTTAATTGAAAACGTGCTTTTTTGACTTTTTTTATTTTTTATTTTTATTTTTATTTTTTCTATTTTCCAATGTCAAATCATGGCAAAGCTTGGTGATCGTATGTTTACGAAAAAGACTTCATAAGAACTACGAGACTGCCTGCTCCAGAAAAAGCCAAAACTTGGTAATATTTTAGCACTAAAGACGGATCAATCGTTACATGATTTGGTCCATCATACATAAGGGTGAACAAAATCGAATCAAAAGTCAAAGCTGAAAAGAATCGAATTGAACTGTGTGATTCGGTACTGTTCGGTTCTATTTTTTATAAATTGAAATTTTTTTGGTTCAGTTTCGATTGGGTATTTGGGTTTACTTACATTGCAGTGCGGTTCCGTGACTATTTTTCGTGAGTATGGTTTTTTATTTTGTCAGAACCATACCAAAGTAAAAATAAATGGAAGATGCAACAGTCTCGCTACGGAACCATTCTGTCGAGGTTTGTAACTGTTATATCAACTATCTCTGACGGTTACATGTTGATCTAACGATTTCAAACCTCGACGGAATGATTCTACGGGACCATAGCATTTCCCAAAATAAATATATAGAAAAACCAAGGCAAAACTGAGAGTCTAGTCGAACAGTCCATTTTAGAGCAGTTTAACTTTGTTTATTAAAAAAAAAAAAAAAATTGTTTCACTTTGCTTTGGTTTTTCCCCAAGTTTCTAATAGGTTCAATTTTTGTTTCGTGGTGTTCTGGGCGAGTTTGCACCGAACTGCACCATTGTTCACCCTTATAATTACATTTGTAATAAAAATACATAATAATTATGTTATGCAATGAAATACAATTTAAAAGTATGCATATAATTAAAAAAAAGTATAATTATGTAACAACTAATACTGTCCAACTGTGTTTCGCACGTTTTAAATCATCTTATTTGCCCTTTCAACTTCACAGAAAGATATATTATTATTCACAGATCCATTTCCATGATTCAACGGGTAACGAATAAAGACAAAACTACGTGATTTTTCACAAAAAGTGTCACATTGCCTTACCTGTAAATTTGACATTTGAAGCTTTCTTTAAAAGATATACTAATTTCTTCAAGAATAATGTGTATTTTTTAGACGTAACATACACACGGGCCTAAATTCGATGAACCCCACAGCCAAAACCAACCCCATTGACACTCACCAGTCTTAGCGTAAAATGGGAAACCCTTACACTCGGCTACACAATCTGCCTCGGCTTTTTCTCTGTTTGCAGCCTTGCAAGTGAAGGTCGTTGTACCGAGTTCCGTTTTTCCTGCTAAAAACAATGCAAACAATTCGTACATTTAACGGCATAAATTATTGATAACAATTAGAGATTCATACGTACCTATTGCTGCAAACGGCATCAGAGCAAGTAGACTAAGTATGAAAAGGGAAGAGAGACTCATTCTCATCAGCCTTTTCTTTTTTTTTTCTTATATATGTATGTTTGTAAATATTTTAGGGCCAGTGGTTTTTTATTTAAATAAATGTGTCCTCAAATTCCTGGAGATTAAGTTATATTGATGCAACTTAATGGGGTATTCAATGCATCATTTAGTAAAAGGAATTAATGTATTGGGGTGTTACCTTTATCATTTAAGAGATGCTAATTGAACATTCTATCCCAAAAATGAATGATCACTTTAGGTGTCAACCAGACATGAGACATGATAAATAAATACATCGTAGTACATCGAATAAATACAAATAAATAAATACAAATATATATGATCAGTTTTGTTATGGAGCCATCGAATAAATACAAATATATATGACCAGTTTTGCTATGGAGCCATCGAATAATACAACTTACGGAGTGATTGAATGACACAACTTATGGAGTCATATGTAACTATTTACAAATAGTGTATTGATAAGTGTTCTAAATTTATTGTAGGAGGCATCGGCTGGCTTCACAGAATTTTTGTATATATCTGAATCACACATCTTGTTTCCTCACGTCGTGGAGGGTGAAACACGTGCTCATAGTTGTTTTCGATAGGTGTTCGGTGAGGAAGCCTAATAGTTAAATAGTCGTACTCTTCCAGTAAATAAATATACAATTTCAAACTCAAATTTAAAGTAGAACATAATAAGAACTATGGCATTTCATCGTGCAAATATCAAGCAGCAAACAGTAGCGTTTGTCTCTTATAAATATTAAGTTGCAAGGAGATTGCTACACTATAATTATCTCGTTTCGATCTCCTTTTAATAACTGGTGAAACACACATCTTTTATTTACTGTACCTTTCCATGAGGACATGGCGGATATTTATCTAATTTTCATTTCTAGTTATTCATGTCAAAGGATTATTTTGACTTTTGTGGCGCACACTGATATATCACCACTTTATTCCCATCATTTTAAAGAACCCAATGAAACAATATGAGCATGGCAATTGTTTGTAGTAGAAAAGGCAATCAATTTCATACCAGTAAATTTCTGCAATTATATTCTGAACTTATAAAAGCCCGTTCAACTGCGCCATGCAGAATATAGTTCCGAGTCCACATCTTCTTCCCACCAAGTGGCACTCTGCAAAATCAGGCTCACTTTTCACCACATACCACACGAGGTAAAAAAAGTTATGAGAGAGAGAGAGAGAGAGAGAGAGAGAGAGAGAGAGAGCGGGCATCCTAGAAATATATTTCAGAGTCAAGTAACACAAAGGGAAAAAGATAAGAGTGACGACTACCTTATAACCTCTTCGGAGGAATTCTAGTGAGCTTCCTTCTTCCTCCTTTAGTCCAAGGACTCTCAAAAGCTCTTCCTTAGTCTAACATATAAAAGGAAATCAAAATCAGGAAGCCTTGTTTTATGAGTTGGCAGGAAGGCATATTCATGATGGTGAAAGTATATTTACTTCACCGAGAGTGAAACGAGTTGCACTCTCAGCCACGCAAGCATAAGAATTGTCCCCTTGTTTCAGCATCACTTGCCAAGGCCCTGAAAGGAGATGTGGCATGAATTTGAGGTTGTGTGGTAAGTTCAAAACTCCAAAATGACCAAACAACAAAACTCAAGATGTGGACACTAAAGGATAAGAATTTATTTAGAAGCAAAATTTACATATTTTAAACACTTCATTCCATTAAGGTGATATTCAATGTCCTGTATGAGGCTTTTGGATCCAGAAAGAGATCCAAATACCAAAGCTGCTATAGCACCTTCAAGTTACAAACAAGAAGACAATTGTAGGGATATAAACTCGTTTATTCATGTTTCACATAAATGTTTTTTTTATTCATGGTGCAATTAAAATAGAAATCATACATTATCCTGACTCACCTGGATATTGGCGGAATAATGCTCCATTATAGTTCACCACATAAGGTGCCACAGCAATTGTCTTTCACAATTAAGAGTACTAAAATCATTCCAGCTTAAAATCAAACATACAAAACTAGAATCCCAAAGAATTAAGAAAAATAAGGGAAGTACCTTCGAATACTCTCTTGTTCGAATGTAGAAAACGGGAACGAACTGAGAAAGAAACCGATAATGCAAATCTTTGCTGGGAAATCCTAAAAGGCCTAGATCAGCACTGCGCACACACATTAAAAGATATTAACCAAAAGAAAGGGAGAGAAAAACAAAAATCCACCTAAATTATGGAGGTTTCACATACCGCAATGTGTCAAGTTCCAAGTTAAAGAGAACAGTTGGGGTGGAGGAAGCAAATTTTTCCTGCACTATCCAATGGAAATACACTCTTGGGGTTTGATTCATGCCATGGAACATGAAAGTAAGAGAAAAGGAAGAAGATACCATACCACATACTTCTCTATTACAGACAAATCTCTTGTGCTACAATTTATGAAAACATAAAGTGATGGTGGTGTATCAGATTGCCAACGACCTGCAGTAGAAATAAAATATTAAAGACATAATTTTTTATAAGATTACCAAGTTCAGTAAAGTAGACAAGAAATTTTGTATGTATGAAGTCTGCTCGAGTTAAGTATGCTCATGACTGAAGTGAGAAATTAATTCAGTTCAATGTATTAAAAAGAGGAAGCTATCCTGTTAGGTATGTAAGAATTACAAGTTGAATGGAAGTATGCAAGTTTATGAAACCAACCTTCATTTTCGTCCACAAAGTCAAAATCCAAAGTGTCTCTGATGGATTTGAAGAATGTTGTGACCGCTCCACAAGGTACATCATCCAAGGACCCAACAGTTATACCATCAATCTGAAAAGAAAAAAAAAAATAAATAATAAAAACAAATAAATTGTATACGCCACTTTTGAATGGTAAAGACCCAAAAAGTGGGATTCAGGCAACATAGGATGCCCATTGCAAGAAGAATTTTTTAAGACCCTGTCCTGAAGCTTTAAACTAAAATGCTAACATGATGCATTGAAGTAATTGCCTTCCTTAATTGCCACTATTGCCTCCATCCTTTAAAAAGCTTTTCACAACACGTGGAAAGCCGTCAATGTCAAATGTGCTTTCTCAGGTACAAGCAAGACAAACCCAAATATACAGTCCGCTTTGTAAACAGAGAACAACTTTGAAAAAGCTATCAAACGAAGTAGGAAAGATTTGACCTACTAATTATTGGATTAAATAGCAGGAAACTGTTGGAAGTTTTAGAACTGAACAATCCAGATCTTTACCTGATATTTTACAAATACCAGTGATGCTGTGGATGGTGTAAATTCTTTTTGCACAGCAGGAAATCTATTGCTTGCATTATGAAAGGGCATTGCTATATCATTAATTAGAAAGCAGCATTGTACATTAAATGTGAAACTATATAATACATAATTAATCAGCATCCTTAATCTGCAGGGCCAACAGATTCACCAATTATTTGCCTTCTTCGTAGGTGACAAAGCAGGAGATTTTAATGATATTAAGAATAAATACAAAAAGTAAAGAGAACACATAAAGAACTAGAATTTTTGTAATAACTCAGTTACCGAGTCAAAAGCTGCTTTGAAAATATCTGACGCTCTACGCTTTTCGGGCTTATCAGGGAACACCTAAAAATGATAAATTTACATCACAAAGTCTGCTCCTTTGAAATAATAATAATAATAATAATAATAATAATAATAATAATAATAATAATAATAATAATATCTCCACACCCAAGTAAATATATATGAAAGGAAAAAATATTCTATCTTACAATGCAGGCTTTTGTTTCTTGCTTCTCTTGCAGCTTTCTAACAACTGCCAATGCAAGTTGAATGTTGGCATCACTGAATTCATCAGACGAACCCTTCACATTTTCATCAATTTTGAGAAAAACAAACACATGATAAATGATTTCTATTGACAGGCCTCATCCAAAAATCATGTCTAAGTTAGCACTTTTTAGCTGGTACTAAGAGGCCAAATGTGAAATAATAACCATTATTGCAACACAGGAAACGCAATCTCTGAAAGATTTATGTATTGATAGAAAAGGTGCACTTGAGAACTAAGAAGATACCTTATAAGAAGAAATATTGCTGGGCAATGGACTGATGATGCATCCAGTACAATGTCAATGTGGAAAAGGATAGATAAGTGTCAGAATAAAAATGAGAACTCAATCAAGAAACCAACAAGAAGATTTAAAAATATCACATGGCCTAAGTAGAACACCTCAAGTCTAGAAACCCCTCATTAAATCCTAAAACAATGTTATTATAGAGCAACGAACTTAAAGTTCCAGTTCACTTATTTTTGTAGGAAAAACGACAATCAGTTTCACCAGTTCAAAAAACAACCAAATTTCTTAAACTCGTGGACGAACCACATCCGCCATTTAAGTGACGTCAAACTACTAAATAACCAATTGTAAAGAGTTCACAACACACATACTGCACAACTATAAGCAAGTCAAGCAACAGAAATCCTTGAAAAGCAGGACACATACAAAGATAAAATTCGAGCTATTTCGAAGCACTACAAAGTTCTACTGCCCAATAGTGAATGCAAAGATAGAATTCGAGCTACTTCAAAGCACTACAAAATTCTACTGCCCAACAGTGTATACAAAGATATAATTCGAGCTTTTTCGAAGCACTACAAAATTCAACTGCTCAGTAGTAAATACAAGATAAAATGAGCTAATTCAAAGCACTACATTTACTCATGAAATAGGATAGAGATTTGTACGCACGGGAACTCAATTTCGAGACGGGTTTTTCCGTCTTGCAGGGCGAAGAAAAGGGAAACGGCAGCGTCGGACACGAGAACTTCGTACGATTTAGGCTTGTAAACCGCAACGCCGAGCTTCGGGTCAACTCCCGGTTCGGATTTAGCGGCTCTTGCGCTAATATCCCTCTTCCTGCCGACGTGAGCTGCGGTGGTGCTGTGTCTGGACGGAGGCGGAGGAATAGAAGAAATCGGAACAAAAATTCTCCGCTGGTGAGAGATGCCTATGGAATACGAGAGAATGGGGGAAGCCGTTTTTGTGAACGCAGAAACTACGGCCGCCGCGTGAACGGCCATGGGAGGCGGCGAGGTCGGGTTATCTAAACGCGTGGGCGCGTGAGTGGAGGGAAAGATGAACGGTTGTGGGGATTGAGTGGTTAAGAAAGCGGTGACGTTATCTGCAACGCATGATTCACTAAGTAGCTGTAAGCGTGTTTTTGCGGATTTTGTTTGGACCACAATTTCTACGTTTTTAGCCCACAAAACAGGAGAAAAAAGCGAAATAAATCAACAAAACTTGGGCTAAAGTACATAACTATATACCAAGAGCGCTTGGATGAGATGACTTGGGTCTCTTCCAGCTTAACCAGTGGTCTCGTGTTCGAGCCCTGAGAATGCAGCAGTGTTAAAACTCTTGAGGGAGAGCTTTGCCGCCCTTGTGGTCCTACCCGGCTTGATTCCGGATTAGTCAATTCTATTGTGGATCCAGAAACCGGAAGGTCCCTGTACCAAAAAAAAAGTACATAACTATCAAACTGACTGAAAAAATTTCAACTAAAATTAGGGATTAAGGTGAATTCCAAAATTGTTTGAATTTCAACTAAAAAAAATTAAATTAAAAGGGATTTAATATGCACATACAATTCTTGTTTTAATTTTTTTTTTGTACAAATATGTGAAATCAACTTTTGAACCGGACTCTCTAAGACCACTCACTTCCCTTTTTTTGAAGTTGAAGATGACTTCACTGTCGCCCTAAACTTGCGTAAAAAACCAATCATTGCTCTCTTCTCCCCCTCTGTCCCGCCCCATTGTCTCCAGATTTACACCGACTCTTTCGAAAAAAAAAAAAACGGATTAGGCGCAGCATGAGGAATAAGAAAAATCGAACTATTTTCTCATGAAGTTGTAACTTTGGCTGTTGTCTTTTTCCTTTTCTCGTTTTTTTTTCTTTCTTTCAGTTTTTTATTGTACTTTTGTAGACCTGTGACTTTTTTGGACCATTTAGGGTCGTGACTATATGCAAGTTGGGATCCAGCCTCAATCTCCCCCCCTTCCCCACCGCGCTGGATTTTTTTTATTAAAAAAAAAACTTTTTTGAATTGAATTTTTTGTTTAATTTTTTTTTTAAAAAAAGACGTGTAGTGTACTTCTTTGAATATAAACTAAGGAAAAGTCTTAAGTCCCGTGGTTCATTTTCACGGAATCATTCCCCTACTTATAAGCCAATAGAATTTAGCCACCTCATTGGTTTATTGTGGACTTCATACACGCTATATTTCTCATAAAAATCGTTGATGAATTATTAATCAACACACACATTGTTCATGCTACTATGTATTCTAATAACTAAACAATGAAAATATCAAATAATTTAAAACAAATAATGAATTAATGAATCAGAAAAGAAAAGTATTTTTATTTATGATATAATATAAATAATTAAGTGTTTATTTTTAGTACAATTTATTTGTGAAAAGTTTTTTCAAGAAATAACTGCACATATTTCTTGCTAGTTTTTATTATTACACTACATAGAAAATGATGAAATTCTAACGGAAATATATTTCGTAAGAATTCCAATGACAAATTCAATGGATATTTCAATGTTATTATTTTCGTTTGAATTTTCTAATGGATTCCAACGGAAATTCCAACAAAATATTCCAAGAATGAGCTTTCCATTGGAATTTACATTGGACTTTGACGATTTCAACGGTAGATTTTCCAACAGTGGTGGAAATAATAATTCCAACATAAATTGTATATTCCAATGGAAATTTTTACGGTAAAAAATTATTGGAAATATAGCAGTTGGAGTTATCAAATGAGGACAACTTTTAAAATGAGTACGTGAAACTCAATCATAGCCATTGAGTTTGTGTTGATCAACTAATATTAATAAAATATTCGCCTAGGATTTAAGATGTCTCGATTAAATAATTGGGCCAATTGGCCGAAATAAAATGGCCCGATTAAATGGGCCCGGAAATTGGACTCGTTCGGAAATTAAATAAATTCTGAACGTTTCTAATACTCGATTAAAATAATAAATCGAGACTTAGACTTAATATAATATTTCCTTTTCGAAATAAAATTCGAACGTTTTCTCCATGACATAGACTTAGTGTTGTAAATATTTTTACCAGAGTAGAATCAAAAGATTCGACACGGGGTCGTGTCTCACGAGGAAGGTTAGCCGGAATACTGTGTGCGTTTATTCAAACACGAATGAAAGATATAAAAATCCTAAACATGCTAAATCAAAGTTTGGTTTTGATTATCAACTACTGCAAATAACTAAAATAAAGCAAGTAAATATCAGACGATCACGTAGAACAAATAAGGATTAAGAAGCTAGGGAGTCGGGGATTCCTGCTTTGGTTCGACATACAACTACCGGGCAAGCGATTGTTCAGCCAAGAAATTCGAATAACCTACCTGATCAAGCATTCATTCTCAATAACTATTCGTAACAAGAGAATAAACTAGAACGGCAAATTAATGAGTCAAATAACTCCTAGGCAATACAGTTACGAACAAACCTAGTTCATGCGAATCTATTTTGACCGACTCCTTCCCTTTCGGTTCTAAGAGCCGATTAAATAATCCTAGAAGATGTTTAATCAACTAGTCGATATAGAGTTAACAATATCACGCGAGAACAAATCAAATTCAATCAACAAGCAATTGTAAATCGAAGTGTCACTTCTTCAATAATTCTCAACATTCAAGCATGAATTGAAAATCCTAATTAAGCATGAATCGCATAAATAGAACAATCTTGAGCCCGACAATCACAAACAAATTCAAAGCATCGATCCCCTATTCCCTAGCATAAAGATTTAGCCACTCATGCTCGAATAAACAACGAAAGCATTCATCACAACCCAAGAATTCATAATTAACGATAAAGTTAAAAGAAATCTTACGATTGATAAAATCCAAATGTCGCCTTCGATAAACAAGATTAATTCCAAAAGAAATAGCCAAATCCAAGTTCAAATCCTTATTCTCCGTTCAAAACGATGGAAAGAAAGTGAAGAACGAGAGAAGAGATGAGAAACTAGGGTTTCGGTGTTTTTGTTCGTAAAAGAATGAATAATGTGTTGAATTCCCGATCTCATATTTATAGTGAGACATGGTCACGGCGTGGAAAAGACTCGAGGACGGGGCACCACCAGGCATCGCGGCGCGGCATCTTGTCACGGCGCGGCAAGATTACTTCTCGCGGCGTGGAGCAGTAACGCGGCGCGGAAGAGCGGGAAGCTTGAGGTCTCTGTCCAACTCGCGGCGACATCACGACGCGATGCAGACCTCGTCTTCGCGGCGCGGAGCTTCAGCGCAGCGCGGCGGAACGGACAGCACGGCGTGGGGTATTCTCACGGCGCGACGGGGGCAGATTCTTCACGGCACGAGCAGTCACGCGGCGCGGCAGGTAAGGGACGCAGGTTCTGTCCAACTCGCGGCGTTGGCACGGCGCGATGACTGGAACTTCTCTCACGGCGTGGGACAAGTCGCGGCGCGGCGGGAAGAATCTTACCTTCTGTCCAGGTCGTGGCAGCGTCGCGGCGCGGGCGAGGGGAGCTGACTGGTGCGGCTCGGTACTCGAAGTCTCGTGGGTCTAAGTGCATTACTTCGCGTATTATATCCGTTCGAGCTCGTCCAACCTCCGAATTTAGTTCCGTTTTCTCCCTTGTGTTGCCAACGAGATATTCTATTAAATATGTTCACCCGGTCCATTTATCACGGAAAACAAATCTTCCCGAATCCTACAACCTGTCCACCAAAAACAACACACAACCGAAAAACGACCGAGAAAATACCAGAAAAACCAAAATTAAGCAACACACAAAATAAACGATAAAATAAACTAAAACTCAACTAAACGACTCAAAATGGGGGGAAAAGAAAGACAAAAAGATGACGAAAAAACCAACAAAAATGGGACAAACAACTCTCCCACACTAAGACCTTTGTTCGTCCCGAACAAAAAGAAAAGAAAAGACACGAAAACAAGCAAACGAGCATGGATAATAGTTTCAGATAAGACAAGCCTCAAATTAATCAACTTAGCCAAGTGGACTTCCAATGACCAATCACGCATACCTCAACTACACTCGAATGTAACATTTTGAAAAGATAACTCTCGAGTACGGGAATATAATATATAAATGCCTCACTCGATATCTTTCATGAGTATAAACCTGGGACGCTCAAATTGGTCGATCATCATGCATCAACATAAGCTTGCTTATCGTCTATTCATACTCTAAAACAATTAAAGATCATGAACTATAAATCAAGAGGACTTTCGAGTTTGCATTGTAGGCATCAAAGAAAGGAACAATATAAAGATAAAGTGGTCCAAATAGACAATCACATCCTCGAGCATATAAACTACTCGAAACCTCACCACCTATCCAAAATAAGCATAAAAATCCATTATTCCCATCAAGGCTCCATACAACACTCATACATGCTCAACTGAATTGCACTTCAAGTACTCGACTTTTTCTTCTTTTTTTTCTTTTTTTTAAAGGGGGTTTGCTTTTTTTTCCTAACAAAACCGAGACGTAAGGACAACATTCTCTAGGTTTAAACATTGGAGGTCATCCAAGTTTCCTAGAGTAGTTTCCCAATACTCATTACTCGTGAAAAAATCTATAAGTAAGCAGTGTAGAATCCTTTCCGTCCGTCTTGCGAGTCCCCAATTTTTTATTTTTCTTTTTTATATTTTATTTTTTAATTATTTTTTTTTGTCAAGTACCCAAAATGCAACTCCAACAAATTATACACCTTCTCCAAACACATATTAAAAGCTCCGTCATCATAAGAAATGCATTGTCAAATCTTCAAATAATTCAATCAAACCGGTTGACAAGAAATACAATTCAGGCTCAACGGGCTACTAATGAATATTTTCACATCAAGGGTCAAAGAAAAAGGCTAAACGAGCAATGTCAAAGAAATGCCTCAATTATTTTCACAATTCACTACTTTAATCAATTCATTTCAAAATAAACTCAAAGCAAGTTCTGATCAACAAGAATTCGACCAACATCTCTCAAGGAAAC